GTTACTTAGGGACTGTAAGAGAGCTTTGTGCTACTGTGACCAAACATTTCAAGTCAAATCAGGCAGATCATGTGCACATACATCGGATTTCCCCAGGACCTTGAACTTTGGACCTTATAAGAGAAAATATTGCATATTGAATTTTGTTGCATTTATAGTTTTTGTCTTTATGTTACTTTTGCAAAAAAATAAAGTAATAAATTCAACACAAACAAGAAGAAATTAAGCATGAATTTTAAAAATATGTGTGGAACTACTCCAACATGCATATGCACACATACGCTTAAGGTAAATTTTCTACAAAATGGAACCGCGGGCTCAGAGCAGGACAAAGGTGAAGGTTCAGTGCCCCTGATTGCACAAAATGACTGCGTAAAGCTGCCAAAGCCAGTGTTCACTGCATATGGCTGTGTCGTTACACATTTATGTGAGTGTGTGTGTTCAGTATTGCATAACATGACACCAAGATGATAGTCAAAAAGGTGAACAAAATGAGAACAAGTTTGTTTCTGAACAAGTTGAGAAGGCAAGACCATTCTGTCAAGACCAGCACTGTCCAATTAACTGTAATGAAAGTTACACATTTCAATTACTGGGCTTAATCTGATGGATTAAGGTCTTGCACTGGACTCTTCACCACAGTCAAACAAGGCACACAGATCTATCATCACATTCTGAGCAGCTGCTATGCCAGTAACAGCAACTATTCAGTAGAGCCTGAAAACATCTGTCAGGGTTGTGCTTTTCAGTTTTATTATTTGCTGTGTTGTTCTTCATTTAGTGTGTTAAGATTTTGGTTTTCTGGTTAGGGTTTCATAATTTCTGCATTAGTTTATTAATTCATGTCCTGGATTATGTTTTGTTTTGCATTTGTTCTGTGCTCAATGTCTATCTGTTTCCTGTTTTGTTCAGTGCTTTCCGAAAGTACTTGCTACTCCCTCCCCCTAACTACTTTCCCTCCGTTTGCATGTTCACGGGGAGGGTCCGCCATGTTGAGTGCCATCTGAAACCAGTGAGGTAAAATGCCAAGTGAGCATCAATGCTGGCCTGTTGAAGGTGTGTAACACCCTTTGCTGCACGATGGAGGACCCTTCTTTCAGATATGAGTTCCGTGTGACAACACCCGTAAACATGTAGGATTTTTAAATTCTGAAACCACACTAACATTTCTTCATCACCATACACAGGTTGAAAACATACCCTAAAGGTTATATTGAGTTAAATTTAAAAAATGCTCTTATCTGAAAGACAATACAAATGTTTTTTTATTGAATCTTATTCATCTCATATGAAAATCTTCAGCCAAAACAAAAGTAGGCCTACACATACTGACAGAATAATACATGACACAACTAGATACATTGGGTCTCACGTAGCAAGTAACCAAGGCATTAAAGAAAAATATTTCAATCTTTACACATTTTTTTAACTGTTTAAATTGCTTTACTATTCTTCAGACCATGTAATGCTTCAATATAATGTTGTTGATTTCTATAATGAAATGTATTTGCGGATTCTTCAAAATAAGAAGTCTATCAATCGATATCAATCTATATGATAATATAGATATATTCATAAATAAACTGATGAACCAGTCAATGTCTTAAAGAAATATTATAAATGTAACCAAAGTAATTTGGTATGTTTACAATCGTAAAATAAATGACTGATGGTTTCAGTTTCATTATTGCAAAACACTTTTCCTCAATATCATTCCTGAATCTTAATACAACTGTTGTTTGATAAACCCATGACTGCCGTGAGTGATAGTGTAGCAATAACATCAGATCCTATTTATGCTATTTAGTCTGATCCTGGATCCTAAAAATCTGTTATCTGCCGGGGCACATGGCTGACCTTGACAATGTCAGACATGACAGTGCACCACATCACTATGGCTATATGGCTTATTTTTCCAAATTTGTTATTAACTTTCCAACAATAGCCTTAAAATGTATCACTAGGTGCATAGCCTTCAGTAATCTCCAACTTCAACTCCAAATGTGGGCTGGATATTTTACAGTATTTTGGCCAATACCAAGACTTTTCTAGTAATATGCAACAGTGCCAGAATTCGACTTTAATTGTCTCACAACATGACACACTTGGGTTTCTAACTTGCTAATCCACACTACAGAAAGAAATCACTGAGGAACAAATAGGACAAATGCTAAAAAATAAAAATCACTTAGGTCAAAATGTGTGTGTGTGTGTTTATGTTTGAGTATAGGATGGCTTACTTGCAATCTGACCCAAGAGGAGGGAGGCATCTGTATGTATAGTAGCAAAGTAACATGCAGTGGTTGTTCCGTTTCTCAGTGTCCTTTTCTGTAAAGCACAGGGATCTTATTACAAGATTGAGACAACATTCATATTATTTTTCTCTTTTCTAAATATTGTTAAACCATGGAATTTTTCACACCCTTCTCAAATCATAGTCTGTCTGACAATAGAGAGGACTTGACTGAATTTTCCACTTTTGCAATTGGTCCAAAAGGGGAAACTGCAATGCCACAGACAATCTCATAAACACAGTGTGTCACAAGGCTCAGTTTTGGCTCGCTGCACATCTTCAGCACCCAAGGCACAATGTGTGACTGATAAAAAGCAACTGTAAACATTTTGATGGCCACTTTTTTAACGATGCTAGCAAACTCACCACTACTTGAGTGTAGACCTTGTTGGCAAACTCCAAGTCTGAGAAACGTGACTCCACAGGAAATGTGTAAGTACTGAGCCACTGCATTAAGGGCATGTCCAGGGCCGTGCCAGCAAAGCTGTACTGTGGTGCATGGATGTGGGTGTCCACCATTCCTGGCATGAAGAACTCACTGTAGTGCAGCAAGCAATAAAAATGGTTCAAACATACACTACTGTTTTTTATCTCCCGAACAAGAACTGATGCAATGATGCTCATGCTTTACATTCAAGTGGTTTAATAAATATAACTGCATTTGCAAATAAGAACTGACAACCTGTCCAGGGTGTACCCTGCCTTTCGCCCGATGTCAGCTGGGATTGGCTCCAGCCCCTCGCTACCCTGTATGCAGGATAAGCGTTTGACGATGGATGGATGCAAAGAAGACTTTGTGTTCACATCTGCCAAACCAACATCAGCAAACAGTATCCATCCGTCCATTGTCAACCAATTATCCCGTGTACAGGGTCGTGGGGAGTAATTTAATATGTAGCCATGTAATATTATTGCAAAGTTATATATATTTAGTAATTTTTAAATATATTTTACTTACTGTTGAGCCAGAGTATTGACTATAGATGGACTGAATCCAAAGGTCTGAGACAGGCTATCAAGTTCTGTGCCTTTCCCGATGAAAGCAATCTGATGGCAGAATGAAAATCAGCTAAGAGTTACTGGAAGAAAACATGATTACAAAAGAGTGCTTGCAAGAGAGTAAGCTGTGAGAGCTGAATACATAATTGCTTGAAGAGGCATTTTTAAGACACTTCGCTTAGGAGCAAGCTACCTATATTCAGCATATACATTTAGCAAATATAGCCTATTCAACAACCCTTAGATTATGTCACAAGATGTTTTTGTGTGAGATTCTGTGAACAGCACCACAGTCCTTGTAATACGTCTAGGCATATATCCTTAGGCCCACTCCATCTCCTTAACATATTCTGTTTACTTTTTAGGGAGATTACATGGTTCTTCAGATGGTTTCGGTGTTTCAGAAGATTATGGTTGTGAATTTTATTCATTATCCCACTTGCTGTATTTGAAAAGGCTACTTTAAACTGCCAGGAAGTTTTTTGTGTCTGAGAGCTGATAGTGTGCCAAAAGTTGCTCAGCAACAGCTTAGGCTATGAAACACATTTTACAACACACTTTTTCCGTTTGGAAAACCCAGACGTCTTTCACACCAAACGGTGCGCAAGGTTTAGGAGTAGCCACAATAAGTTATAGCCTATAGGCTATAGGCCTATTTATTAAATTATAGATTACAGTCACTGTATATGCGCATTTGTTTTCCAAACCATAAAAAGTTTTAACCAGACCAAAAGCTGTTTTAGACATTTTAGATCCGACAAACCTTCCCCTCTGTGTCCACTCCAAGGAGCGCATCTTCCAGGACTTCCAGCGCTGTTTGCTGGGTCGAGTGAATAAATGTTCCCCGGTAGACGTGGACAATTTCGACGGTGTGTTTGTTGGAGTTCGCCATCCCTTCACAAAGTCTGTCGCAGTCGAGAAGTGAGATGCCTTCAGCACCAACGCACCAGGGTTTTGTCCTCGTGGAGCTCTGACCACCACTACGCACAACGCGCCAGCACCTGATGTCAAAGACAATCTGCGGCCAATGAGAAGATAGGGTGTGTGTCTATGTGTGTGTTGGAGTTTGTCTGATGGTCAAGTTGTTATAGTATATTAGCCACAGAGTCGCAAAGGCTGAGTGAGTCTGCTAAAAGAAATACGTTTCCGGTTTTGCTTTATACTGCTGGTGTCACGTACCGATCATGAATCATTTAGGCGCAGCCCTTACTGTAAACGTCATCTAACTAACATCTACTGTCATGTAAATCAGATTAACTGTATCACTTAATAATTAATCACAGTAATTAGTAATAGCCTAATATATCTATGAGTCACTAGAGTCGCTATAGGCTATTGCTTTTCTTTGTAAGCTGCAAAGAACTTACTAGCGCACACGGTTTCTTTGGAAAATCAGGCCAGATACACAAAACCCGGAACTTGACTGTCCGTTTTCTGCGCAAATGTAGAAGGCTATATGTCACGATATACCGTTTTTAAACGCTTTTTGTGCAATTCAGTCTTTAGGCAGTCTTTAATCACTACCAACAACTTGGAAGACAACACTTAGTACTTAATTCTGGGTGTCTGTCTGCCTGTCAGATCAAGACATATCATTAAATTAACTTTTGGAAATCTCTCATGAGGTATTCTATGGAGAATGCGCACTCAGGAGTGGAATAATAGGGCCCCTATTGTCACACAGCCAATACAGTAAAGACAAGGGAGAACGTGTTAAATATTTTAATAGTGTCATTTGACCCACGGACTTAATACAAGTTCAAGTGGACCGGTGAGTGTGTAACAAATTATCGTTCAGTTACTGAACTCATACTCAACACTGGTCGCTGCAATCAAACTGCATTTTGGGTAGTAAGCTGCATAGATATATATAGATACATTGAAAGAGGACATTCTGTACCATCTGCCTTTCAAGAGAGACAGCAGTCACAGACAGTCTATATCCAAACATACAAGGGTAAAACAAAAATAATGTTAACACTTCCTCCTGAAATTTTTAATTAAATGCTTAGGTTGCATGCCAGTAAGCCTAAGGTATACAAATTTTCTTCTTGGGTGGTTACTGGTTCCTTTTTTTCAGTGTACTTTGTACATGTTTGGCATAGGTTGTCATGGTGTTTCAGATGGTTCCTTATATTAAATGTATTTTGACATCTTCATAAAAACAAGGTAATAAGGGAGTGGTTATCGCTAAGATTAGGGTTTCGTTTTTGTAATTCAGTAGTAATAGAGCAGAGAGATCTTAAGGTAATAACTGGGCAGAAGATATCAGTAATATCATGATAACAGTGTAATGGGGTAAAAAAAAATGTAGTTGCTATAAAACCATCACAATCACTGAAATGTCTCTGCCCATACACATCAAAAACTTCCTTCTTTTCAAAGTTAACAAATTAATTATTTTTCTTGAAACATTGTGATGCAACAGAGGAGTTTTTGTGTGCTAACCATGAATTACAGCCAGAAAAGGATGCACCACCCATTTCCCCATCATTTCTCTTTTTATATAGTCTTAGCTCACTATCCAATTAACATTTAGGGTTTCATTGCTTTCCAAACACATATATTTGTACAACCAAACTCTTGATGGCTAGCTCACACAACAGTGTATCATATAATGAAGATGAACCCTGACTTTGACACTTTATGCTAATTGCGGACAGAAAATCCTAGACATACGGTGGCATGGCAAAGTCAGCAGTTCTGCAAGGTGTAGCAAGGTATTTGCATGAATTTTGTCATGAGAGTATAAGCAGAACAAAGTTATATAAGAAATACTTCAAATGAGCTTAGAGATTAATCCATCCATGGCATGATGTCCAATGTCCTAATGAGGAAGCAAAGTGAAATATTGCCACATCCTTTTAAATTTATCAACCTCACATGATAAATGACAACACACACACACAGATGTGACACACAGCGTGCAAGCAAGGCACTATTTTGTAACGGCAGGCTTTTCAGTCTGAAGTGTGATGTGCGGTTGCAAACAACGAAAAATGTTTGCATAATTTTCAGCAAGAAAAAGGTTTGGCTGCACTGCTTTATAGTAATAGAATACTGCTCAGCTATACAGTAGTGAATAATCATGTTAAGAACTGTCACAGCTTTTTTAATTGAACTTTAAATGTTTTGGATGTGAATGGCACCACTACCAGAACTACCCCAATGAGTTTTTCCAGTATGTTTTATATGTGGAAATTAAAGTGTTTAGGATAACCTACTCAAACCACGAGTCATTCTAAGGAAAATGTTTTTGAGATTTTTACTGCATTTACATATTTATTTATTCTAGAGAGGATAGAAAGTCTAGCAATATTCTGACATATTTCAACACACTTAAAATGTCGACCTCTATTCTAAGACAATATAATTCAACAGCATCACAAGCTGAAGTCTCCAAAAGTATCGTAAAGTTGAAATCAACAGTTCTCTAAAACATCTTCAACAAAAATGGAACAAGTGAGTGTAAATATGAAATATGAGTGTGCCTGACAGAGTCGATATTTTAGAATCGGTTCCCCTTATACTTAAACAACCTCTACCGTACTTCTGCTTATAGTGCTGCCAATACCACAAGGCCTCCATTTGGTCAATTATAGTGAAATTAATTGTTATCTTGGATAAATGAAGTTAAAATGGATTTACACAATGTACAGGTTTTTTTTATTACATATACATGAATTAATTAATCTTATTTTTTGTACTAAAGGTTATTTAAATGAAACTGACATATAACCATCTGAAATCTTCCTGAATCATCTGCCCCGGTGTTGACAACTCATTTTCCAGGTTTTGCATCAAACCAGCAACAATTGTTGATGTGCATCACTTAATTTCAGTGTGATCACATCTCATCTCTTGATCAGAAAACCTGTTTTGTGTATATGTAAAAACAAATGAAAGAGAACAGTCCATTTCAATGTCTTTAGTCTTTAACCTGGACTTGGGATACATCTGGGAGCACATCAGACTTGTCCTGTGACTTCTTTGGTACTGAGTCGAAATCCTCTCCCTCATCATCATCGTCATCTCCGAAGTCACTTAAGTCATCATCATCATCACAATCATCACTGTCCAAGTTATCCGTGTCCTTCTTCCCTCGTCCATGTCCTTTCTTTCTCTGCTCACCATCTTCTTCTTGGTCTGTCTTGTCCACTTGTGAGTTTAATCTACACAGTGAGAGAAAAACAAAATGAGTCAAGACTGAAGCTAAAATGCTACCAATGAGTCAAGTCATTTCCAAAAATATGTTGTCATGTATCTCAGTGTCCACAAGATGGCAGACGTGCACTAGAATTTACTGTTCATGCTTGACAGAGATGAAAAGAAAGAAAAATACAAAGATTTGCTTCATAAAAACACGTGATTATTTCCTTCCTCCAGATAAAGAACACATGTATTACATTTCGCACAATCGTCTAATTCATATACAGTGCGAGGACACGTGATATGAATGGCTTCTCTATGATTCACTGGCGACAATGTGGGCAAGAAAGTCATACAACTGGATATAGATTTTCTCAAGAGTAAGCAGAAAAGTCGATCATTTATGAAAACGTATGTATGAATCTTTACACGCTCTAATAATACAGGTCCACTCACGGAATAACGATGTCCTCTTTCTTCCCACACTTGCAGCAGATCTCTAGCTGAAGGGAACAGGGCTTACAAATGATGTGATACGCATCCTTCACATTCTTTTGAGAACACTTGACACTGAAAGAAGAAAAGATGCATGCACTAATGTCATCAATTTTCACACTGGACCAACTAGGTAGCCCTCTGGATTTTGCAACCCCCCCCCAAATAAAAATACACAAATAACACATCCAAAATATTTTACTGCACATATACAACAGTGCAACACACCTGCAAAGACTGTGTGAGTTTGACTGTTGTATCCCTGACTCAACTGATGAAGCAGAGGTTTGCCATGCTAGCAGGACATATGCAGGACATGAGGAGTTTCCCTGAGTGCCAGCTGACCTGACCAAAACAACATGCTGATTGGTAGTACTGCATTTAACTTGCCACTTGGTTTGCTACAAGCATGTACACAGCAGACAAATCCAGCCAATGAGTCTGGTTTTCATTTCCAATGGCTTCTTTAAATCGAAGTCTGCCCTTCTGTGTCAGAGATTGTGGGAGGTGAAGGTGATGCCTGTTATAGAATATTTCTTAGGGTGCTTAATTGATGTAAGAGGAGGACGTAAGACAGGTCAAGCTTGGAGTCATTAGCTGACCCCACAAATGTTCACTGACCTTCCAGCTCTAGTTATTTCTCTTATGTTACAGTCCTTGTTAAAGAGACAACAGTTAGACTGATTAGGGAGAGACAGTAGCTTAGGCATCAGGCTAGCAGATATCAGTGTTCTCTGGGAATCTTACAAGGTCGCCTCTTGCAAGAATGTTTAGACCTTACTGGCTCCACCGATTCGAGTACAACTCATGGATAGTAAATATTCCAATATTATGTAGCATTGGAGTCTAAACATTAGATAGATTTTTTGTTCTAGGTTAAGGCCAGCTAAAGATGACCTAATAGGGAAACCAGGGGGAAGAGAGAAACATAAAAAGAGACAAAAGATGTTGTCCTTCAGATTTGGTGTTGGCATTTTATGTGTTCACATGTTGTTTGCTGGCACTGTGTCTCCTCGGCCGAGCTCAATAAACCATGCCATGTTAAGTCTTCATCAGTATCTGAAACTTCTTCACACCTGAGCCTGGCTCACAATATTTCAACAATGCCTTAACACTTCTCCTCTACCCTGACCAGGAGTCAAAAATCCACCCGTGTAATACTTTGATAATGGCAGCTAATTTTAGTTGTTGTGAACCTTCAAGTGTTTTGTTGCTAAAATGAATACCTCGATTAACTAACTGATAATAAATGACTGATTATAATCCATGTTCTCTTGCTTTATCGTATACCCACCAGTGGCTTCAGCATCAATTACTTGCTTGTTTTCTGTAAGAGATCAGATCAGTTGAGATGTGTGCAGTCATGAGCAGTTGTAGCAGTGCAAGTGTACCCAAGTGTACTCACCATTTTCGGGGCTGTGTTAGTGTCTTGTATTTGTTGTACTTCACTTTCCACTCAAGAACACCCTTGCAATGTTGACAGAGCCCATCGTGGATCTTTGATTTTGCCTTCTACAAAGCACATGAGCAGACACATGGTGGGAAGGTTATGATAATAATGTTATAAACATGGCTTTGACAAAACAACAGGTTGTAAAGGAAATGCACTATCGCTGAGAAGATTGCTTCAAACAAAAATAAAATCGTGTTTCATGTGTTTTATTGTCTTTGCTCTTGTGAAAGAACTTTGTAGCACGGTTTTGAACAGTGCTCTAAAAATAAAGATTATTATTATTACCACAAGAGGTCAGTGCTGGTAAACCTATACCCATATGCAACGTAACGTCAACTCACATTTTAAAAGTTCCTTTAGCTGAGCTGAGCAACGTTAAGTTACCCATGCTTGCTAGTAGCTACATATGTCTACTATATTTGTCCACACACACCTTCACTTGTACAGTCGCTCCGTACTTGTCGTTTTTGAAGGCAGTGGAGTTTTGATGCTTCTGGGCGCGCGACCGAGAGACATTACCTTTCTGAGAACTCATCTTATTTTCCAATGTTTTAAGTTATGTGGGTACACAAATCCGAAAACCATGCCAGGAGCGAGAGACCCGGAAGAAGTACGAACACGTCATGAAACGTCATTGAGGTCAAAACACGAAAGCGCCGCTTTTCTCAAAAGTGGTTAAATTAAATTAAATTAAGACAAAGGTGCTGAATAAAAATAATTAAATAAAAAATAGGGCAATATTCTCAACACAATTGACAAATACGCTTAATAAAATAGTTTTAGGTCAATGACGTCACCTGATTGGACGGACACTCACCTTGATCGTCGCTGATTGGACAGTGCCTGGAAATAGTAATCTCTGGTTGGTTATCCTTAACGTCAATCAAAACATTAGGTCACCACTCTGCGGCGTCGACAGGGACCGCCCATACATTTTCTCACGTTATATCATTGGTCGACCTGTGACAGCAACCTCTTTGCTATTGGACCATACAGCTGTCAATCACGTACTCCTTCCCTCACGAGCCAAGATAACAAGCAGCTTCCCAACGAAAGCGGTGATGTTTCTGAGTCAAGTGCTGTGAACTGCTCGGCAAACCACACACCACGGACGTGTGACAGGGATTTATCTAGTTCACCCATGTCGCTGCTGAGCTGTATATACTTGAACGTTTTGAATGAATCTGAGTCGTTATTATTCAGGACCATACGTTGAGAAAACCGAGCGGAGGGAAAAGAAACTACAGTTTCGGAGGCTGTCTGGACCCGGAGGACGAAGCGGCCAGCCAATAGTAACTCACAGCTGAGGTGCCAAGAGGGATATACACACACTGAAAGTGACATCGCTAACACATAGGGCACGGAACAGAGGATAATCTGGCCGAGGATAACCTTGTCAATCTCCTGGCGTCGAGAAGAGGATAAATTAGTTGGCTTGGTGCGAATATAACGCCTGACTACGGCGACGTTGGCCAGCACTGTCACCTCGAAATAGAAAGAAAAAACAAAAACAAATCAAGCGTCCAGCCGCCGTCCAGGTAATGTGATCATTTCTCCGCTCTCTTGTATTAAGGGGCAGATGCTTGGTGTTGCATGACTAATTGGCCCATCACACTTGGCAAAAACTGTGTCTAGCCACTGGATATTTATCCCCCACAAACCAGCCTAGAATCGCTGTAATCTGAACACGTTGCTCCTGTTTTCACCACCATTTTACAGTAAATCGCCGGAGCTCCATCCTGTCTCAGTTGCTGTAGATTATGGACTATTTTGGGGAATATGGGAAGCACATAGCCTCCAGTATGTATTTTTCTGCTCCGTCCTCCGTTTGGATGCCATTCATACGTTACACGTGACTATAAAAAGTATTCACCCTAAGTAATCGCTGGTATAGACAATTATTTATATAAATAACAAACATGTAATTAAGTTGATCTTAAAGTGTGTGTGTGTGTGTGTGTGAGAGAGAGAGAGAGATCAAGATGGAACAAGTGATTTTAGGTTTAATACACCTTTATCTGCAATGTCCTGAATCTGGATGCCCGTTTTCTGTTAAAATGGACCATTCCAAACAAATTATCATTACAAGGTGGATGAAATACCACCAGGAGATTGAAGCCTATTGCAAATCTGTAGCTTCTTTAGAGTTTTATGGGTGATGGGAGATGGCCAACATTTGTTGCCTATGTGCTCCATCATTCAGTAAGAGTAAGTCAATGTGAAATAAAACAGCATTATGCTGTTGGGATGCTGTAATGCAGCAGGACCTGCAAAACCTTGTAGAAGCTACAGTAAAAAAAAAATCAGAATCAGAAGAACCAGAAGGAGCTTTATTGCCAAGTAGTGTTTTACCCATATGAGGGATTTGCTGTGGTGATAAGGTGCTACACGTAGACAAACATACAGTTGACATAAATAAATGTAGAAATATATAAATATGGAATGGAAGAACAACGTTGCAGATATATACATGTGCATTATTCTGGGTCTGTGCCGTGCAGAAGTAACGCAACGGAAGAGAATATTGTGTACATATAAATATATAAACTGGCAACATAAAAATATACAACAACAAAGATCAACAATCAACAACAAATATGTGCAACGTGCCAGGTCTGTGCATGACACGAGATCAGCAACATGCCGGTGTATCCTGGCAAAACAGCTGTCACAGACCATTAGAGAATTGCGATTGCATTGCATATTTGCATATTAAAGCGTGTAATTGCAAACATGTAATAACAGGGTGTAATTTCTTTCTTCTAGCACCTTTATTGGCAATACTATCCACAACACATTGTCATTATCCTGACAGCTTGGGCCTACTCAAAACGGCATGTGTAGTTATGCGGAGTCAAATTACAAAGCCACCCATCTCTAGTGCTGGCCACTGCAATTCAAAGGCACCTGGAATATCTAAGGTAGCCTTGGGTTGGGATCCAGGTGCATGGTGAAACAAGAAAGCCTTTTAAGTCAATACTGTCTGAGTGGTTGTGGAGCCGGTCAGGGCTATATCTTTTTTTATAATCCTGCCTGACAGCCATGCACTGGAGAGGGCAATTGATTGTGTATAACAAAGGTGAGTGTTTATATTCTTGGAGAGCGCATCATTCAACAAATTTGTGGCACAAATTTACTCTTGTGGTGGTTTTCCTTGTGATCAGTCTGCAGGGGATGCAGTGGAAAATTAGTGTTTCAGTTTTTTGAGGAAGCCCAGATACCCTTGTTTGATGAGGTTGAATCTGTTTTCTCTGTCATTCATGGTTCTCAAAGGCAATTCTTACATTTAATCCATTGATGAAATGTAACAGTTTCTATTTTAACCATCCTCCCTCTGTCACAGTGTTTTGAGGATGAACCATTTATCCCTCAGCGAGCTATGTTGCCTGTTCTGCTGTCCACCGTGCCCCAGCAAGATCGCCTCTAAGCTGGCCTTCCTGCCCCCAGAGCCCACCTACAGCCTCATGTGTGATGAGAGTGGCAGCCGATGGACGTTGCATCTGTCCGAGCGCGCTGACTGGCAATACTCGTCCCGTGAGAAGGACGCCATCGAGTGTTTCATGACACGCACCTCAAGAGGGAACCGCATTGCCTGCATGTTTGTACGTTGCTCGCCCAGCGCCCGGTACACCCTGTTATTCTCCCATGGTAACGCAGTGGACTTGGGTCAGATGAGCAGCTTCTACATTGGCCTGGGTTCGCGCATCAACTGCAACGTCTTCTCCTACGACTACTCGGGTTACGGGGCCAGCTCTGGGAAACCGTCAGAGAAGAACCTGTACGCCGATGTGGATGCTGCCTGGCAGGCACTCCGGTCACGGTAAGGAAAGATGGTGATGATGATGAATGGAGGGAAGATGTAAGAGGACATATACACAAATATTGGCACAGCCTGTAGAGAAAGGAAACAGTGATTGATTAGTAGTGATGAAAGCATTGATATTAGAGTAACTGAATAGCACACAGACTCTAACCTTGATTTCTCACAGGTGTTGCTCCTCTGCCCCAAGTATTCAGAGCACAATAAACCTAAATTGCAATGTAGATGAGGCTTAGATGAGGCCACTCAGAGAATGGTGAGTTAATCCCTACAAACTTTTACAATGGCAACCTTCCTTGGTTTTCTTATGCCATGAATGTCTACAGCTATAGGGAAGTTTGACACAGTAAATGGGGACTGCTGAAATAAAAGCAGATGTAAAGTAAAATCTGAAGAAACGGTGCTGATGTAGATTGATGGGGAAAATAACAGACATGAAGGGATGACAAGGGGCTGGACAATTGAGAGCCGATGATGTGAGGAGTCTACAGAAGGAGCTGGGTGGAAGGGTGATTAGACTCGACCTGATAAAATCATGGTTGGAGATGACGAGGAATTGTGTAGTAGTGATGACATGATGTTCTTGTAGGCGATAATAAAGAGCGTGTTTTCTCTGATTACGCCGGCCAGGCATATGTAGGTGTGAGTGGGTGCTCTGCTGCATCTTTCTGCTCTGCAAGCTATGAATAGATAGATATTTATTGGCCGATATTTGACGTCTACTGATGGGCTATCTGTGATATTCCAGCTCACAAGAACTTAGTGCTTCTTGTTGATGTCGTCTGCATCAATATGCATCAGAGCTATGTAATGATGAAAAACAACCAAGGGCCACTGGACTCTTGTGGGTTTTTCATTGCAGATGGCCCAGAGGAATTCACTGTTAAATTCCTGCCATGCAGTGATTCATGTAATATAAAGTGAGCTTCTGGGGGGAAAATGTCATCCTCCTGTTTTCTCCATTTCTTAATCTCTTCTTTGTGATGTACAAAACTTAATACAATTCTTAATGACCTTACAGCTAAAAGGATATTACTGATAGCTATTGTTTACCTAAATCCTGGATCATTTGTATCTGTCCAAAATCGCCTAGGGCTACTTCACTGCTGGCAAGGACTCGTTTCTCAGCTTTGGCCCCTTCCCCCTTGAATCTGTGTCTTTAGTCCCATGTCCCTCGCTTCCTTAAATCCATGTTTAGCCGTTTCTCGTCATCTCCTCCTTTTGTCCTTTTGTAACACCAGAGCCATTGTCCTGATGTCTTTGGGGCTGTTTTGCCAGGAGAGGGGCACCATTTGTCACCTCTGTAGTGGCCTCCCACAAACATTCAATACATACACATATGTAGAGCTGAAACAATTAGTTGAAATTGTCGATCGACAAAAAATGAACTATTATGCTAATCAATTATGAGTCTTTTGTTTCAAATAAAAATGGCCAAGATCCAACTTCAGTGATGATCGTAAACATAAATCTTTGCCATCGGACAAAGCAAGCTATTTAAAGATGACACCTTGGGTTAAATAGTGATGGAACTTTTTCAAAATTTTCTGACATCTTTATAGACTACTAATGGATTTAATCAAGGATATAGCTAACAGATCACTCGATGATGAAAATAACAGTTAGTTGCAGCTGTATAGCCTACACACGCATACAAGACAGATGCTCTTATATTTGCATAAAAAGAAAATGCACAGCCACACACCTGAGAACAGGATGTGGAGTGTTTGTGTGTGAGTAAAAATAATGCGTCCATCATTATTTGTGCCTTTTTGTTTATGTGGATGAGGGAGGAATAAAAGTTCATCCAGTAGGCCTGGTTGTTTTTGTATACTGCTTCCTGCTGGAAGACAAACAAATGACTTAAGAGGGTTGATGGAGAAACATTGGCCCAGGGAAACGCTGAAGAGAAGAGCCACTGCAAATCAACCATAAAGAGGGAAAAAAACTAAGCTTCCAATGTGTCAATGCTGATGTGGGTGTACGTTCTTTTTCTGCTAAATGAAAATGTTGGCTGCTGAGATTTAGAAGTGCTGATGGATAACACTGCTAGGGTCACTGGCAACAAAATGTTACTGTTTCTTAGCTGCTGACTTTTGCTGTGAGCCTCTCTCAGCACTTCTCGTACATTTTACACCATCTACCGTCTCACAGAATATACTGATTGCTCTTCTATAAATAAGGGCCTTGAAATAAGGAAGCTTGTGAGTTAAACAGGAAACTCTTGATCATAAAGGATTTGCTTACAGGAAATAGGCCACTACTGTGAAGAAGAACCCGCTCTTCTGGTGGCCAGGCACTGTATGTGTGTGTTTGTGTTGGATCAAGTACATTCCTTTTCCTCCAATGTTGAAACCTTTCTGTCACTTGTTTTCCATTCAGTAGGCTTCACGAATGCCACACAAACAGTTTTACCAGTGTGTCAAACGTGATGGAAAGTTAAAGAGAGAAAATAAGAAAGGCCTTCAGGACAGTCTGAAACCCATTCTGTCTTTTTTTTTTTTTTCTTTCTATACACAGCACCAGACTACTTGAAAGAGAAAGGCGCACTTACGGCTGCTGTGATGTTCTGCTCCCTTTTTGTCATCTTATTCTTATTTTACAGCTTGCTTGCTTACTTACTTTTGTTGATACGCCAAGGAATCTCCTGCTCCCACACACATAGTCGTGATCTGTGATTTCAGCAGAACCACAGGCTTCAGATCATATGAAATCGTGCTTAGTGATTTGTGTGGGGGTGGGGGGGGGCAGGAGGTGGTAACAGCAAATGTTGGCTACTCGTTCAAAAAATATATATATATGTTTTTAGAATAAAATTTGCCCAGCATAACGTATCTTCCCTCCCTGTCTTCTGCACACACTATGTGGCCCGGGCTCTGTCTTACATCTCTGTAGAAATGCATGATGTTGAAATGCTTTACCAATAACGATCATTTCTCTTTTCTTTCCCTTTTTATCGCAGTACAACATGTAGAGTTTCCACTACTGCAGTCATTTTAGTGGAATAACTGTGATGGTTTGCAGATGTCTCAAAAACGTTGCTTATATATACTTAAATATTATGTGTGATGAATTTTGATCAGTGTGACTCTGTTTGGCAAGATATTATTACGAAGATATTATTGTCCTTTAATAACAGCACTGAGATCATAGTCCAAATCCACATTGGCATCACATAATTTGCCCAAGCCAGCTAACATTGATCAGATAGGGTGGCTATTCGTCTACTTACTGAAGGCTTCTGGGTTGTAATAGCTGTAACAAGCTGTTTCTCTACATGAAAAAAGGCAGAGCATGTATTTATATATGAATCTCTGACACTGTATCACATGACTTTGTAGGTTGATCAGGGAAGAATCTTCTTCGAGATCAGATGAGATGGTTACAGGAACAAGAAAATAACTTGATATTCAAGAAGCCTCAATTTGCGTGCGCACTGACCCGTGCCTTGTAGTCCCGTGGTTAGCAGTCCCACAGCACAGTCAGACTGAGTTCCCTCTGGCTCTCGCCATAAAGACGGGTTGAACAGGGTGAGTTTTGTGTTTGTTGTTCTTTCTCTGCAGTGCTTTGTTATGCGTTCACACGGTTGTAATCACTCTGTCAATCAGTTTTAATAATGCACACATTTACACAGTCCCTAACTATAAAGCGTTGGGTCTCTGCGCAGTACAGGCCATTATTTAGGAACAGTTCATGAGATACAGTGGCAATATACGGTTTTAGAATTCTTTTTTCTGTGATTCTTCTTACTTAAGTCAGTTTCATTTTGATATTCATGCAATGTAGACATTAAACCTTGATTATGTGTAAAATGTCCACTGTGCTGCCCTGTTTTGAAATCTTAGCGACGCTAAGTCATTATACTTTATAACACCCTCAAAGTACAGGTGCAGGTCTGAAGGCCACGTTTCTTTTTGGGAATCCCCATTCTGCTCATGCCACAGTAAGAGAACTTATAACAAAACGGGTCTGTCCCGAGGCGTACCGAGATCTCCTCATTTGAATGTGCTGGAAAAATGCCATGTTTCATACAAAGATTAGAACAAGGCTAACATTAGAGCAGCCTATACCTTTTAATGTAATCCATACATTTGGGACTTGATGAACACTAAAAAATGGACACTGGGCTGTCACTAAAATTTTTTTTTAAAAAGACAGCAACATAATGTAACAAAATCATATGGCTCCTCTTAATGTACACTTGTCATGATGGGGCTGGGAACACAGACATCCTGCCAGGGACGTACTACTTTTTCCTTTTTATAACCAAAAAATCTATACCAAAGGTTAGTTCTCCAAGTACATTTTGCATAGTGTTTTTGGCCTAACCAAATGACAAGAGTCAATGTAAAATCTGCGGTTGGGATACCTTGATACCACTGGCGTCAGTCACCTTTATGGTCATGTCAGTCACTCTGTTTGTCTGCAAGAGCTCTGCTGTCTCTCCAGTTACAGCACACGTGTTAATGACTCTGCCCTCAGGGTTGTTGTTTTTTTGTTTTTTTTTTTGGCTGGTGAAATACTCTGCTGAGGCCTTCAGACCCCAGGCATTATATCTGCTCAACAAGCATTTCAGTCACATGAATCGTGTGCTATATCTTTGCCCTTTTCTTGCACAAAGAGAATGAAATGATGACAGTTTTAAAGGATTTTTTTTACAAGCATTCGGGACTGAATAGCTAATCACTAAAATTAAAATGTGGGACTTCAATTCTGATTCACGGGCACGTTACAAGTTAAGAGAGATTTGTTAACAGAAAATATTATGGAAATCTTGTGCATAAATATTAAAATAGTAAAAAATATTTTTTGCCTTGCATAGTTTTCTGCTATTATATACTTCACCGTTTAGTCTTTTACTTAACAGCTGAGTATAAATAAGGCCCCTAGTAACATTTCATCTGCCTTTTTGACTCAGCTGTCCATGTCTGAGGGCTGTGCCAGATTCCTAATCGACTGTCTATGTGATAGAAAGAGGGTATAACCCGGCCTTTTGGCCCTGCTGAACATTGTGTTTATCACATCAAAAGGCCTATTTGCATGGCCTCGCACTCGTCTGCTGCCAACACCCCTCGTGCATGTCTCTCAGGCCAGATCAGACGAAGAGAGTGGCTCTCATGTCTCCTTCACTTTCTCTGCTTGTTGTACTCTGTCCTTGTCTTTTTTTTGTTTTGTTTTAATCATTTGACATTTTGAACACACCAGATCCTGCCTTCTTCTGCGTCAGTTTTGTTTCAGTCTTTCTCTGCTTATGATTCATGTTCTCTTGAGTGCGACACACGCGTGTATGTAGGCTGCGTTCACTTTACTCTACAGTCATAAAGGGCAGCCACCTGCCACACTGCAAAACAGTCAAAGCACCAAACTCCTCAGCCAGTCACATGACGCGCACACTCCTCCTGTGTTCTTTACCTTAGCCGGGGTGGATGAGGCACACCCTTCACCTGAGCAGGGAGTGGGCCAGATGATTCACTAATTGTGTAAGGTTACACACACACACACACACACACACACACACACACACACACACACACACACACGGATTATGCAAACGAATAGAAGAATGTGTCAGGGTGTGACTGTTGTTGTTTTAACATTAGAAAAAATGGAACATGAATAAAAGGCTGGGTTTATTGACCAAAAAGTGACCAAGCTCACAAAAGCCATCAGCCCTGTGTGTGTGTGTGTGTGTGTGTGTGTGTGTGTGTGTGTGTGTGTGTGTGTGTGTGTGTGTGTGTGTGTGTGTGTGTGTGTGGTGTGTGTGTGTGTGTGTGTGTGTGTGTGTGTGTGTGTGTGTGTGTGTGTGTGTGTGTGTGTGTGTGTGTGTGTGTGTGTGTGTGTGTGTGTGTGTGTGTGTGTGTGTGTGTGTGTGTGTGTGTGTGTGTGTGTGTGGAGTGGCACTGTATCCTTTTTCCCTCTGAGATGGAGGCGGGCCAGCAGTCAATCCTGCTACTCTAATATTGAGCGGTAGCCTAGCAACCGATTTCCGTCTTCCCACACTAAAGCCAAAAAATTTTTTTTGAAAACAGGACAAAACTCCCTTACGGGTCAATCATCGTTATTGATCCAAAATCGAAACGCAGTCTATCTCCTCAGATTTTTAAAAGTGGATAGAAATTCTCACTAACAAGCCACCATGTCCGTGAATTGTTTACTTTTCTTTACCTGAAATGTTAGTGACAAATATAGACTAAGGCTGCTGTGTCTGTTAAGTCAGTTGGGTGGAGTGCGATATCGCTCACCTGACTGCACTGAGCAACAAAGCTGAAAATATACTTACTGTCCTCACATCTTAATATTTAATTCACGCTGACTTTTTTGGGGGGGGTCTCAACATCTATTTATTGTCAAGACAAATCTGAATAAACAAGTATATTGTGGCAGGAAATGATTAAAAAGGTGCTAAGCAGAATGACGAGCATTGGAGAGCTTCAGTGGAGGATCCCCCTGCTGTAGCGCAGATGGTACACTGACATGTTAAAAATATCTGTACATATGTTCAGGATATCCTAAAAATATCTATTAGTCATAGTTGCCGCTATGGAATGATAATATTTTTTGGTCTTCAGGGAGCAAGAGGTGGGCAGTCAAGAGGGAGCGAGAGACGTAATAGGGGAATGCGGGAGGATGTGACGCATAATAGATTGGATATCTGTCAGGAGACTGAATTGATGAAGGTCTGGGGGAGGGTTGTAATCACGTAACATGGCGGCTGTGGCTTGGTGGGGTCTATTCAAGCTGAAATGCAATGGAGTAAATTGTAGGCTAGTGTCGGCCGGTCCTGGGGGTGTGTCCTCTTGTGTCTTGTGTGGATCTGGGTTGGTCGAATCCCTCTGGAGTGCAGCTGCAGATCTGCACTGCGATTTTCCTCCTCTTTGCTTGGCCTTTCCAGAATGTGTAAGCAAAAGCCACGGCAGTCCATTCAACAGTGCCAAGGCAGCGGGGTGGGTTATCGGATAGCGTGACCTTGTTGTGGAAGGTCACAGGTTCAAGCTTTGCATTATTCATTATGTTTCATATGTGTGTCCTTCAGCAAAATGATCCTACTTGCTTGGTGTTGGTGTAAAGCTGTAAGCGAAGCGTGCCAAGTTGGGTTTGGGGAAAGCCTTGCTGCATTTGCTATCATAAATCCTTTCACCTCATGACTAAGCTGTCAGATGGTTTCAATTTAGCTTCTCTGTATTGACACTGCATAAGCTTTACATTGTAGTAGTATCCATGTACTGAGTGTTCATATGGCGTAGGATTGGTGATATGGCAAAAAACATTGTCTAGATGAGCATAAGTAAAAGGCGATAAGCATACTTAAGGTAATAACAGATAAAGGTGTACTTTGATGGCTATGTTGATAAAACTGTTAACATAACAGCAAGCAAAATAACACACAACAGTCTCCATACGGTGGAGTTTTGATGGATTGGTTATGAGTAAGGGAGGTAAGCAACCAAACAAAGCTTGTACTAAGCAATTTACTTTAATCTCTCCTGGGAGGCGTTAATATTAAACTATCCCTAAGTCAACACAGTTGCAGTCATCTCACAGATTGCTTAACTTGTTCTTTTACTTCCTCTCGTCTTCCTTTCAGGATAAGAGTTCACTGCTCTTAACAAGAGAAGAGTGGGTTTGATATTTACTGAAAGTGCCTTTCCCTCGAGCTCTGTTATTACCTACCTCACATGTTCTTGTCTCTTGGTTGAGCTTAAGCCTTGCAGTAAAAAACTCACTTTGCTAAGTCTTGCTATGCCAAAAAAAAGTATCCCTTTTTTACTTAACATTATTGTTTTTTGTCAAATGAACAGTAAACCAGGTAAAAGTAGGAATCTAATTTGTATGCCAGTCATCGGGAGTCTAAGCTGGGCCACCTGCGAACATTTTTTTTGCCTTCTGTGATGACTCTTTTTGTTTCAATTGAGGCTTTTAAGGTTCTGAGAAACGGCCTCTCCACAAACTGGACTGGACCAAAGGGGATTTTCATTAACAGGGATTATGATTTTTTTTATTTTGATAACAAATCATTAAGAGTGCACGGACTCTTCAGAAAGGTCAGTGTCATTGATACAGTTTGTAAAAAGACTTGAGAATCTGGCCTCCGCTACATTATGTTGTGTACGGTAATCGAGATAAGCTTCCAGCCCATGAATTGTGTGTATGTATGGTCAACCTTGGAGAGTTAATGGTGCTGTTAACACCACAACACCTAATGGTCTACAGTAACGCTTTCCCGTGCCGTGCCAGTATTTTCACCCCTATTTATACTCTTTGAAGGCCAGATGACACACAAACGGTAAACAGTCCCTATATTCGTGCTAATGACTGACTGTCCAAACTCACATGTCTGTGTTAGTACATTTCCATTATCTGTTTGAAGTGGATGTGCCATCACTTAAGCCTAGTGCCCTTTCATAGAATAAGGGCTACATTACAGCGGATCGTTTCTTTGCATAGGTTGTGTTAAGCTTGTGCCTGTGGAGTTCCTAATTATAATAATCCATCACAGCAGTGTAGAGTGGTGTCAGACTTTGGTGTTAATGTATTGTTCATCATCGTGTATTATAGGAGAGCAGTGGCAAAGGCTGTAATGTTAGGGTTCCCAAATTTAATAGAGTGGAGCAGAGATTTTAAGTCCAGCTGTTTACTATGCACTATCCAGCAGTGCAGCAGTAGAGACCGGGATGCAGTGTTCTCACACTAGGTTTCAGGTTGTCACCTGACTGCTGGCTTGCTTGCTAGAGTGGGTCACGTTCTCCATAATCAGCTGTGGAATGTCTTCTCTTCCGTGTTTTTCCTCCTCCCTCTCCCCGTTTCTCCCTCGCCCTCAAATCCAGTAATAGTGTCTGTCCTGCTCTGTTTCTGCTTGTTTTGCTCTTATTCCCCCTCCTCCCCTCTGAATCACGAGACTACAGTGGTGGTCCTCTCTGTTCAGCTGCTTTGAAAAGCTGCAGAAAGCCACTGAACTATGGCTGTTTCCCATCTTTATGTGCTTGTTTTAGAAGACTGTATAATTACTGAGTCGCTGTGGCATGACGTTTCAGCCGGTAATAGAGATGTGTAAGTTAGCACACAGGTGTGTGTTTGCTTATGGAGCAACATGTGGGGGAAACGAGAAACCGGTATGAGACCAATTGGCTGATAAAGTGTATTTAGTATGTGATGGGTGAAAAGCAGACATTAGACAAACAGGATGTAGGGTATGCACATCCAAAAAAACTTCTAACTACAGGTACTGACAGGATTTGAAAATACAATAAGATGTATGTTAGCTCGAAACTTGCTCAATTAAAATAGCTGAGAACTGTTACTACAGAATCTGGATCTTTTGTCTGATTCTTGCCTATAAAGCAGACCTTACCTAAAGTGATTTAGTACGAGAAGCACTTTAAGGTAATCAAGTGTAACAGTAGCTAGAAAAAGCAAATGTTGTATTTAGGGAATCCACTGTTTTGCCAGCTAAGCTGCTTTTTATAATTAACAAAATGCCTTACTGGACGCCTGCCAGCTTCTGGTAGAGCACACAAAATTTACCCAACTATGTCTGGCCACGAGCAGCATAAATACCCTGTTCATGATCGGTGAAAGCGTGATATTCAGATATTCTGTGTCCTTTTCACAGGTATGGCATCCGGCCAGAGAGCGTGATCGTGTACGGCCAGAGCATTGGCACCGTTCCCTCTGTGGACCTGGCGTCTCGCTATGAGAGCGCTGCAGTCGTCCTCCACTCCCCGCTCACCTCTGGCATGAGAGTGGCCTTCCCCGACACCAAGAAGACCTACTGCTTCGACGCCTTCCCAAAGTGAGTGCACTGTATGGACAGATGGCCCGTGTGAAAGTCAGGCCAAATGAATCACAAACCTCCAGATAGGCACACCGCCTCCGCGTACAGTTATTTGAATAAAAAGGGTTGAAAGGGTTGCATTAATGAATGAATTTGCATCCAGAAAACACACACAAAAGCTTGCAAATGTGGACTTAGATGTGTCACATCAATTCAATTCAGGAAGCTGGACTCAGTAGCTCCCTCTGGTGGTCAGTTGGTGAAGTTTCCTCATTCATTGTGATTTTTTTGATGGTGTTTATGATTACAATAATTCAACCTCTGTTTCTTTCTTTTAGGTGTTTTTTTTACATCCCTGCCTAACTCTCTGTTTTCTCATCCTCTTACTCCAAAGCATCGACAAGATTTCAAAGGTGACGTCCCCAGTACTGGTGATTCACGGTACAGAGGACGAGGTCATCGACTTCTCTCATGGTCTGGCGCTGTATGAACGCTGTCAGCGCCCTGTGGAGCCCCTCTGGGTGGAGGGGGCTGGACACAATGACGTGGAGCTCTATGGACAATACCTGGAGAGACTGAAACAGTTTGTTGCACATGAGCTGGTCAACTTGTAGTGGAGCTGTAAAAAAGCGTGGAGTGGGAGGATGCGAAACAAGCAGAGGGTTTCAGGAGAGGTTAGATGATGGAGAAGGAGTACAACTTTGTTTTTTGGCGGGTGGGGGGGGGTTTGTGAAGTGTTGCAGGTAGAAGTGGTGTTTGTCTGTGTAGTATTGAGGTTTTGGTGGCAGTCCTCTGTCATTATCGAGCACCTCTCCCCCTTGGAGCTCCAGTTCGCCCAGGCCCAGAGCCTGTCAGCACGGTCTGCTCCACATGCTGCAGCTGTGAACTTACAAGCACCCATCATTTTGTTTTGCTTTTAGATTTTCTTTTTATCATGTTGAAAATTGCACATTGTGAAAGTGCGTGAATGAAGGAGGAAGTAGACACTTGCACAGACAACATACCGTGTGTACATGCAGTATGTGAGAGAGTGCGTGTGTGCGTGTTTGTTTGTTTGTGTGTGTGTGTGTGTGTGTGTCACATTTTAGCTGCCTTTTGAGAAGTATCTGGTCCACGGTTCTTAATGGAGACCTCTGGCCAGCTCTTGAGGCTTTTTGAGGTTCTGAGAAACAGCCTTGTTACAAACTGGACTGGACCAGAAGTGGACCAGACTCTCTCTAATCCAACTGATCTCCATCTGACTTTGAAGTCAGGTTTAATCCTGCACACTGCAGTCACCATGACTTTAGCTTTTCTTTTTTTTTTTCTTTTTTGGATTACTGTTTATTCTATTTTTTATATTATACATGATATTTGCACGTATCAGTTGTCACTGATGAACTGTACAAGAAGAACTGACATCTTATCTAGCTGTGCCAGTGTTGCCAAATGTTTAGTATAATATATTGCAGAGACTCAGACCAAGGACTTTGTACAAATAACATCTAGAAACATCTCCAAAGCTCTGTTAGCTGTATTCACTGTCTACTTCTCTGTTTAGTCTCAAAATGGTACAATTTAATGTTACAATCTACAAGAATATGATGCAAGATGGGGCTTAGTCAGCACCTCATATAGCCAGTTAAAAGGCTAGGGCTGTACATCGTTGACAAATAAAGTGTGGCTTATTTCCCCACACACTGACTTTTAAAAAGGTTTCCACAGTTCTTTCCTGAGAGTTTACCTGCTGTAAGATCAGCATCACTACACTGTAGTCAATGAACTTGATGTTTTTGAAATGCGACCGTTTTGTGGACAAAATATCTGACCCCTCTTTGAAAATAACAAGTATTTGCCTTGATATAGTAACTACAATGAAGCCCAGTGTTGACAAGCTTGTTTTTGGGTCTGAAGATAAGTTTAGAAAATGTATGTAGTTATTATAACGGTCTTTTTTTTCTAATATGATACTATGAACTACTGTGACAGCAGCTAACAGTCTGTGCTCTGAGCAAGACCACTAATGCCAATCAGGACTGAATGGTGAACGTTGTTAACACAGCTGATGTCAACCCATTTTCATTTTCAGGAAGGAGGAAAAAAATTAAAATGTTATCTTTTTAGTTATGGAGAAGCGTTAACTTCAAGACATTTGAACGGGAAAATGAATGGACTCCAACCTTGGTTACTCACTCATAATATGTGGACTGGGACAATGGGTTATGTCAGCGTTAAGTGGTTCAGCGTTAAAGGTCTCCATCAACAGAATGTTTTGCTTTTGTCTTAACTTTCTCTTTTTGTCTGCATGGTATTTCTGGATCCATTGTTGTCTGTTGATTTGCCCTTTAATGCTGAGCGAGGCAAAACAAAGCATTAACCAGCTGATGACTCCTTGTAGGCACTGTCAGAGCCCTGAAAAGTCAAAGTGCTAACTGCATGCCACGAATTGCTAGTTTCTCTTTAATGTTTTTGGCCTGTGTAACAAACACAGAACTAAATCTTAATGAAAACTTTTTATGGGTATTTTAAATACCTGTATTACACTTGAGCCTTTGTTCACAAAAGGGGTCAAATACTGTTGGTGAGTGATAACCAATAAGCCACTGGGTGCTACTGTAAACCTTCAGGTCTGAGAGACAGCAAAGATAGCTTGGCGTGTGTCTGATTGACCTGATCCAAATCAGGATTGGTAACTGTTTGGGTCTGTTATGAAAACTACTTTTTCTCACAACTCATTTGTCTTATACTCATTTGTTATGTGCTTTGTTTCATTTTCATTTTGTAAATAATATTTGTACTGGACATGTTGTCATTTTTCTTTTTCTTTCACAAGCTTTTGTCATCATCGTCTCTCAACTGTAGTTCTTTCCTCTCTAACTCTTGATATGACAACTATTAAACCATGTTAGGCAATCACTGAGGCTTTTCAGATGACCTTTGTACTGGTCACTTTGACTAATGTCATCTCTAATTTGATTAGATTAATTTTGTATAGCTTATTTCAATGCAAAAGGAACTTATATGTATTAACAACATTAATATAGTGATTCTATGGATAGAGAAAATAAAATGGTATTTGAGAAGCAACCCAATTTGTGATTGAGCTGTTGATTTTGGGGCGGGGGAACATTTTATATCCTTCATTTTCGGTCTGCTTGAACAATGCAGTATAATGGATGGGGACTTGATCTTATTGTGATGAGCTTGTGTTCTCAGGACAAGTGAGTGCTTCTGTTATGGTGGAGATGTGATTATTTTTTTTTTTATTAAGCACTTTGTAACTTGTTTTTGAAAAGTGCTCTACAAATAAGGATTATTATTATTATTTTTTTTTTTACTAGTAACTAAAAAATAAGCACTAGTATCTAAATAGTAGAAACTAGTAAAATGGAAATGGTTACTAGTAACTGTTCGAATAGTTAATAGTAACTAATGAATAGGTGATATCTGAACTGCAGAGCCCTATTTTAATGGAGAAGAAAATGTGCAATTAGTTCCTAGTAACTAATGGAATAGTCACCAGTAACAAAAAACGAAGTAAAAGTATCTAATCATTTGTGACTAGTTAAACAGGAATCGTTACCAGTAGCTGATGGAATACTTACTGGTAAGTAATAATTAAGTACTAGTAGCTTTTAAATAGCGATTAGTAAGTTGTAAGAACTCCCTCTGTCAGGATGATTGTCACGACCAAGATATTTTTAAACAACCAATTTCACAGGGATTACTCTGCGTTTGGGGTCCCATGCTGTCTGAAAACTTTAAATTCTCATGTCATGTAGATATCTTCAAATCTGTAAAAGCTGATTTTCTGTCCAAAGTTTTTTTTTTTTTTTTTTTTTTTTTTTTTTTTATTAAATGTAGTTACTGAGCACAAGCTCTGTCATCTCTCAACATTTTTGAATTGTGATACTCCAAAAGGGGTGGACACACTATCAAACACCTGCCCAATCCAACACAACAGCTTCAAATATTACCTTTGTGGGTCAGAGGCAGGTAATATTTGAGGCTGTGTATAATAAATGGCTGTATGTTATTCATAATACTGCACCATCTTTGTTTAGATAATAAAGCAGAGCTTACATTGTTAAGCACAATGTTTTTCTGTGGTCATGAGGCACACAGCTTGGGACTTTCCCCAGGTCAAATTGAAGAGATATTTTAAAGCATACTCCACAGAAAGGGGGAAAAGATGTTAACTTGATACTGCTCGAGGTCAAGAGGTCAACTCTGTTACCTAGACACAGGGACAACAGTATATGGATGAGGAGACACAGTAGAAGATTACAGAGGTTAGGGGGAAGGATGTGAGGGAAATCCTGCAGTGTTACTGCAATTAAAATGAGAGATGTAAACATCATGGAATTTATGCTCTATTTCTCTGACACAGCAAACTCTGTACTCTTATGATATTTCCAGGGTTTAATATTTAACAATTCATGATTTGGAATATCAAGATAAAGGGTCTGTTCCCTGGGTTTTCCTCTTGTCTACCACCAGCATGGGAGACTGGTTACGTTATATTTGTTCATGGTTTTTCATTTGTTCTTTTCTATACATAAAAACAAATTTAAATTTAAAATATATCAAAGTTTGTGTGGAGGAGACGGTGGTGGACACTTGGGAGGCTGAATGGAGCATGGGTCCAAGGTTTTGTATAAAATAATTAAATAGGTAAATGAATAGAAATAGATTAATGAATGAGATGAAATAATACTGGTTGTAGAGTATTTTCTCTTTCATACCAGCAGGCAGCAGTGTAGCTCAGGTTTAATAAGCCCCTCCCTTCAGTTCATGCTGCTGATGTTCTCCTGGTGGGCCATTCAATTCCTCCTCAGAAACCCCAACTTCCATAAGTTAGGTTGGGAATCGAAATACACAGGCCACATAATAAAACTTCATTGTGTGCTTTATCATATCAGTAAACAGAAGAAAACCAACCAGTTTGTGCTTTAGCTGCAAAATTACAAGTGTGCTTATGCAGGAATTTACTGTTTCTTTCCCAGTGCTTTCACACAAAGCTGCTAATTTAAAACTTTTAACAACACTCTCTTATATTGCCACTATTGACATACTCAAAGTCAGGAGCCTCTCACAGGATTCATCTTATTTCTGTCAAAATAAATCTTAGTATTACTGGTGGTGTAGAGGCGCCTGCACCAAAGTCGCCACATCTCGTATACAGATTTTTTTGAGTCTATCATGCTGGTCTTCCTATATATACATCAACATATATGATTTATATAAAAAAATATTACAACTACTACTACTTCTATAACAATGACAAGTGCTACTGGCACAACTCTTACTGACCATAGGTCATGTCCTCAGTATTTTTCTGCCGGAATTTGGGAGCTTTAGCAACCTGGAGGGAGTTACACTCTACAGTCTAAACAATACTATGAAAATGGCCTGATTACACTATTCATACAATACATTGTTATGCAAATAAAAGCATAATAAACAAGATAATTTAATAACATAAAAACAAATGCAAACGTAAAATCAAATAAAATAACACCATATTTTTATTTTTGAGAATGCTTAAAAACAGCATTTAGACGTTCATGGAGGTAAATAATATTTACAGAAGATTCTTGAGAAATCCAAATAATATGTTAAAGTTTTCTGAGGGTGAAGAGAAGGTTTGGTCTTGACCTAATGCTTTGAGTAGCACACAAGTAGTACTACTATTTTTTTTTTAATATTATGAATATCTGTAAAAATAAATATAAAAAGCAACATATTTGCACTATATATTGAATGGGGGATGTTATAGTCTGCGTACAATAATAATAAAATACCTACTAACTCTACCATAGCAACTACATCATAATCACCTCCAACACTTTTAACCTTTATCCTGTGTTTTTCAATCTTTAAATCTCATGTGTGTCTTATATTTCCGACAGAATTTGAAACCACCACCACTTCCTCTCTTCCAAGCCGCGCCTGGCTTCCTCTCTCGGTGGGACGGTGGGGGGCTGAACGGACGGACGACAGCCCATCGGCAGAAGAAAAAAAAAAACACCATGTGAAGAGAAAGTGTATAAAAAGGGACGCGGAAAGCACAGTTGCGAGGGCAAGATTGTATTCGTTCGTCTCACCGCCACCGGGAAAGCGTTTTAAAGACTCGGCAAAGAGCGAATGGACAGAGCGGGAGAGGAGCAGGACAGTCTCACCGACGGTAATGTAGCCCAACGTCCGACCGTTGTGTCTGTCAGTCAGCCGTTGGGGGTGAGGGGGACTCGCCGGTTGAAGCTTTGAGTTCAGGCTGTTTTATTGTGAAGAGTAGGGCTTGATAAGCTAGTTAAAACGTGACAAATTGTGCTTTTTGTGTGTGTCCAAGTTAAATGCTTAAAAGATGTATGCAGTGTGTTGCTGTGTCCCATCCGTCAAACTTTCAGAAGTGGATTTAACGTAATATTAACTTATTAACTTAACCTAACGTTACTGACTTGTGCCATACGCTTTCCTACAGGTTCTTCTTTTGTGATATGTCGATAATGAACAACCCCTTGACACTATAGTAGCTTCTGTTTATTTATGGTGTGGAAATAACTTTGGCCAAAACAACCCATACATCATTGTAAGTGACTAATGTAACGTTAATCCTCCCATTTAAATGAACACACCTTGTTTAACCTTAGCTCAGTGTGGGCCAACTCACGCTTTGCACTCACTATTAGTGCACGATAGTCTACTGGTGTCACAGCGCTGTTCGGCTTACAGTTTTGAGTTAGTATTGGGAACACGTGGCTTACTGATTTTTGAAGGATTATTTTACAGCTGAGGAATGTGTGATGGTCTGTCCCGCTTTGACTCCAGTGCTCCCCCCCCAAACATCTGTTTGATATTCAGTAGCTCTTAAAATCAGGAAAATATGAGAGAGAGAGGGAGGGGATGAAGTTATTAGGACATGCATGAGATGAAAAGCAGTGCAGTCTTGTCATCACAAGTGTCTTTTCCCAAAGCTGAATAGCCCTAAGGTGAGTAGGTCCTTTATGCTCTGACAGGTCAGTTAATAGCAGGGGCGCGGGAGTAGCTTCAGCCTTTTTTATGGCGAGGAATGTGAATAAAAACATAGCCTGAGATAGGGTTATTAAGACTGATGCCAGGGGGGGATCCTCTCTTCAAGATCCTCCCAATGGGTCTTTCTAATGCAGGCCACAGACCATGAGAACATGAACATCCAAAAGACAGTGTGCCTTTCTTGATGACATTCAAGTTTAGGTTTAGATGGACTGTCAGCTAAACTCTTATGAAGACTAGTTCAGAGACACTGTGATGGGATAATTCAGGTTGAAGTGGGTGCAACAGCTGCTGTTGGACGTATCTTACATAAATGACTGAGCCCTTGTTGAGCAGTCATTCGATGTACATTGCTTTGTTTGTGAGTTGAAGAGGTTTTGTTGTGCTCTGTTCTAAACTGGTGACTAATTGGCTTGGCAAGACAACGGTTGGTTGTGTGTGTCTGTGGGTTGGCACTCGGATGATTTAAAGACTGAAAGTCATCACTTTCAGGGTGTCTTTGGTTTGAATGAGCCTGTCTTGGACAATTATTGCAGTTGAGCACTTTTAGGGGTGGTGATGGCACAGTGGATAAGACACATGCCTTTGGTGTGAGAGACCCGGGTTCAATTCCCCACTGTGACACATCCGCCAATGTGTCCCTGAGCAAGACACTCGACCCCTACTTGCTCCGAAGGTGTGTGACCTCTGACACACACATATATATATATATATAGCAAATGTAAGTTGCTTTGGATAAAAGTGTCAGCTAAATGAATAAATGTTAACCACATCTTTAAAAGACGTGGTCAGAATCTGATGTGTGAAAGCTTGAACTTGCTGACATTTTGTTTTTGATCTATAGTAGCAAGCTGTGATGTCATTACAGTAGTATGAGGTGTTTGTGTTAAAGAAAGGTGCCACTGAAGCCTTTTTTCTGCAGTGTCATTTCCTTTACACCCATGTGTTTTTGCCCAAATGACCTTTTTGTGTGTGTGTGTCTCCATGGCTTCAGTTCATTTTGTGCTACTTTTTTCATTTGTGTGAAATAAAGAGTAGCGCACACACTCAAACTG